TGCAAGGCAGGTCGGCGTCAAAGTAAACCATCGTGCGGCCTCGCAAGGTCACGACCCGGCAGGCAGGCAGGCCTTACTCGGAAAGTTTGCGGACTTGCGTGCGAATGCTACAGTTGGTGGAGATAATGCGATTCCCACTTGTACGCGCGCGTTCTTGCACGTTCATCGTCGGGACGAGGAAGTAGGGGCAAGGACTTGGGATACCCACGTATACCTGAATACCAGGTATTATCCGAGATTTCGAAAATTGAATACGGGAAACGATACTCAAAATAATCAGATAAACGTGAATAACGCGAACAAATTGCAAAGTGACGTTTGAAATGTCACATCATTTAATTATCCCACAATTTTCGAGCTTCGATCATTCATTAATTGTCCCTATACTAGCTCTGATACCAGATTTGTTAAAGTTAAATGCTTATTATTAATTACATACACAGGGTATATATAATGGTTTAATGTATATAATGTATATGAAAATAAATTGATATAATATAAAATTAATACAAATAAAAAACATACAGTATATATAATTATATTTAAACATTTTTTGTGCGCCATCCTATACATATTGACAAATTTATCTGTTTTGTAGCAAAAAAGTGAGTCTATTTTAACGGTTCTCGTCGAATGTTCTTGATTCAATGCGTACGCGCGCGATAATCAAATCTGATTTACATATCCAACAACGTCAAATATTCATAGACTTCGCAGAGAATATATTTAAGCTATTAATTCATACGCAATGTAAATTACAACGACGGCAGAGGAAGAACACGGTGTATCTTGAGAACCATACATTCTACCAATTACCGTTAAAAGCAAGTAAATGGAAGCAGAGGTACCACTGGTAATGGACCAACATTTTCAACGCGAATGTACATCGGAATCCCCCCACCCCCCACCCCCCGTAGACTCGTGAGCCACGACCGCTTGGGAATCGCAGAATTGTACCGAAGAATTTCTGTCACTGCCCACGTACACCCCAGTTTTCATCGTCGTAAAACAATATAGTGTTAAGTGCATCGCAGTATCTGAGATGAGTAGTTGTGCTGCAGAAATTTTCCCTTTGTAACTATCGCTTTACGGACCGTTTCGATAAATTGAGTGTCGCATTAACTCACGTGCAACATAAGAAGCGACTACTTAATTATTTAACA